TTCATATAATACAGTTGTATACTCTTCTATATTTTCTTATAAACCAACTATAATAACAGTATAGAGGCCTTTTATTATCATTAAATATAACCTTTGAAAAGTGATATAAAATAAAAAATACAAAAAAAGCAAAAAAAAAATACGAAAAAATTTTTGTTTGTGACTTTAAATATATAGCATAATATTAGTCTCAAGGGTTTAATCAGAGAAAACATCTTTTAAAGTAAAAATAAACAAGAAGAAAAGAAAAAGGAAGAAAAACTTTTTAACCTATATTTATGTTTGAATGTGTGTGTGTGTAGATGGACCTTCATCTTCATATTATATACAATATTACAAATAATATAGGTAAAGTTAAAATTTTGTGAATAAGATTATCATTTTGTATATAGGTAGGATGTTTGTTCAAAAAAAAGGAAAAAAAATAATTTTTGATGTTATTTTATTGAAAAAGGAAAAGAAGGTAAAAATTTTTTTTTTATAAATATAATATAAAAGTAATAAATAAAAATGTTGCAATTGCGTAAGAGAACGTCAAAAATTTCAAAAAAATTTTTTAAGATCACGTTATTAAATTAAAGCACTTTAAAACATACAAGTTATGATATTATATGGTAAGTAAATTGTTTATGTACTAAGAATCTAATTTGATATATAACATAGAGGTCATTTTAAAACTTAAAAATTAAACTTAAATGCTCTACAAAATAAGAACCCTAGTATACTGTGACTAACCCTACTGTGACTAATTCTACTCAATAAGTGCTCTAATGTAATCAGTATAAAGCGCAAATAAGAATTACCATTAAACAGAAATTCTCATTTATATTAAAATACTATCAATTATCGAATTACCATTCTATATTCTTGACTATAAAACAATTATGTTTACAGCAACTTCCATTAAGGAAAATGTATACAAAAAATTTTTTAATAAAACGGTAAAAATTTTATTAAACTAAATGCTCTTTCTCTCTAACGAGGCTTTACTACTTTAATTATAACCGCCTAAAATTATGCAATAAATTCTGTTAAGATGATTGTGAGATTCTCCAAATTTTTGTTTGTTTTGTTAATAAAGGTAATAACGTAAAAGTAATCGAAAGACAAAGATAGGAGGAACCAAACTATCATCAGACTTATCAATAGTAAGGGACTTTAAACCAATCTAAAACGCACCTGGATGGTTATAAACCCCTAAAAACTACGGTCAAACTGACTAAGTAATAGTTTTGCTCTATCGTGTATTTGTGTTTACATTCCGTAAAGGAAGGCGCAGAAGTACTGCTGTAACACTTTAAACTAAATCTCTAATGCTATACAGTTGAACATAATATGTGTTTAGAAATATTCTTTTGAGAAATTCCTCTTGACAAAATATAAAGCTAAATTCCTTTCCTTTAATAAATTATAAGAGTGTGAGCCTATAACAAGGAGTTATTGAAATCATATATATATATATAGGGTTCATCATCATCATCAGTAGCTTTACAGCCCGGTATGAGCCCTAGCTTGACTAACAATTCTCCTCCACCCTTCTCGATCCGTTGTTAGTTGCTGCCAATTTGTTATATTCATTTTACGCAAATCTTCTGCTACGTCGTTCTTCCATCTCAACCTTGGTCTTCCAATGTTTCTTTGAAAAAGTGGTCTTGTTTCGAAAATTCTTTTTGGAGCCCTTGATTCATCCATTCGATTGAGATGTACCAGCCACCTTAATCTTTGAGATTTGATGAATCTTACTATATCCTGCATATTTTTTATAAGGTCCATTAGTTCTTGATTTGACCTTATTTCATACTCATTATATTCGTTCAATCTTGGTCCAAAAATTTTCCGCAGTATCTTTCTTTCAAAGGTTCTCAGATTATTTATATCATATTGCGTTAATGACCACGTTTCAGCACTGTAGCTTAAAATAGGGCGTAATGTGGTTTTATATAGTTTTGTTTTGCACGATTTTGATAGAATTTTAGATTTAAATAAATGTGCCATGGAGTAGTGAGCCCTGTTAACTGTTAATATCTTTTGTTTTATGCCTTTATGTATGTCATTACTAGCATTTATTTGCGCACCAAGGTATGTAAAATTTTCAACTATTTCAAAATTGTATCCCATCATACTTATAGTTTGGTCACTTCTTCGTAGTTGGGATCTTGATATCAACATATATTTGGTTTTTTCTTCATTAATCTTCAAACCCACAATTGCAGCGTTTTCGGCAAGTTCGGCAAAAGCTTCAATTAGATGTCTTTTATTTCTGGACATCAAGACTATATCATCTGCATAGGCACACATTTGATAGGAACGTGTAAATATAGTGCCACCATTATTTAATTGTTTTATTGAATGATGCAACATCAGATTGAATATTATTGAAGAGATTTCATCTCCTTGTTTAACTCCAGACTTAATTTCAAAGGCGCTTGTATATTTATTTTGGATACGAACTTTGGCTGTTGTGTTTCTTAGAGTCATTTCAACAAGGTATACGAAGTTGTTCAAAGATTTATCGAATTTTATTTCTTTTGATTGAGTCAAACGCTTGTTAGAAATCTATGAAAACCATGTGTAGATCGATGTTGTATTCTGCACATTTTTCCATTGTCTGTCTGACGTAAAAAATTTGATCAACAGTTGATTTTTGTTCTCTGAAACCACATTGATAATCGGTTAAGATTCCTTCTGAATAAACTTTTAGTCTTCTAGCAATTATAGCAGCTAGAACCTTATATGTGACGTTTAGCAGCGTTATTCCCCTATAGTTTTGACAATCCGTTTTACTACCCTTTTTGTGTATGGGCATGATTATACCATTCCGCCATTCATCTGGCATTTGGTTACTTCGCCAAATCCCCACAATGAGGTCGTGAATTTTTAAATACAAATTTTCACCCCCGCCTTGATCATTTCTGCCGCTATTGTATCTTCTCCAGTTGCACTTACAATATATATAGGGTTATTGTGAATTATTCGAATAATGTGAATAATTAGAATAAATTCAGTAATTTAGTTGATTTGAAATAATAACTCCTAAAAATATGCAAAAAAATATTTTATATGTTCTCTAATAATAAACCAAATAAATAAGAGAATAACAAGTAAAAACGTTTCAGTCGGTATAAACCGATTGAATTATACCCTGCACCTTTCGTTATTGTGCAGCAATTACTCGAAGCTCTGAAATCATTCTATAGAAACTTCTCGGACATGTCTGACCTATAATTGCACATCCGACTGCCAAGTTTCATGAATCTGACCTTATAGTTTTTCCAAATATTTAAAATTAGCTTTTAGACTTGTATGGGAGCTACTCGAACCTGTCGAGCAATTCCACCAAAACTTCAGAAATATATTTGAGCCATAATTGGACACATGACTGCCAAGTTTCATGAATCTGACTTTATTATTTTTCCAAATATTTAAAATTAGCTTTTGGAGTTGTATGGCAAGTACCCGAACCTGTCAAGCAATTCCACTAAAACTTCACAAATATATCTGACCTATAATCGGACACACAACTTCCAAGTTTCATGAATCTGACTTTATTATTTTTCCAAATATGTAAAATAAGCTTTTGAAGTTTTATGGCAAGTACCTGAACCTGTCAAGGAATTCCATCAAAACTTCACAAATATATCTGATCTATAATCGGACACACAACTGCCAAGTTTCATGAATCTGACTTTATTATTTTTCCAAATATTAAGAATAAGCTTTTAGACTTGCATGGGAGCTACTCGAACCTGTCAAGCAATCGCACCAAAACTTTAGAAATATGTCTGACCTATAATTGGACACACGACTGCCAAGTCTCATGAATTTGACTTTATTATTTTTCCAAATATTTGAAATAAGCTTTTAGACTTGTATGGGAGCTACTCGAACCTGTCGAGCAATTCCACCAAAACTTCAGAAATATATTTGAGCCATAATTGGACACATGACTGCCAAGTTTCATGAATCTGACTTTATTATTTTTCCAAATATTTAAAATTAGCTTCTGGAGTTGTATGGCAGGCACCCGAACCTGTCAAGCAATTCCACTAAAACTTCACTAATATATCTGATCTATAATCGGACACACAACTGCCAAGTTTCATGAATCTGACTTTATTATTTTGCTGAATATAAAAAATTTGCTATTGGAGTTGTATGGCAGCCACCCGAACCGGTGCAGCTATCCCATTATAATTTTTAGAGCATGTGTAGAATATAATTGAACACATGTATACAAAATTTTATATTTATAGCTTTATTAGTTTTTTAAATATTTAAAATAAACTCTTGGAGTTGTATGGCAGCTACCTGAACCCGTTGTCCGACTTAGTCCAATAAAAATAGGGTTCGTCCTTGGCACAAAAGAAACAACTTGTGAAAGTTTGGTGTCGATTGCATTATTCGTTTTTGAGTTATCGTGCGATCGGACGGACGGACGGACAGACGGACGGACGGACGGACGGACGGACATGTCTAAATCGACGCAGAATTTTACGCTGAGCAAGAATATATATATATGTCCATACCGCAAACGACTCCTTCAAGTAGTTACAAACTCCATACCAAAGTTAATATACCCTTCACGAAGTGCAGGGTATAAAAATAAGGAGCACTAAATTCAATTATAAAATAAGATTCCTATACGCTCATTATTCAAAAATAAATTATTAATAATAATAGAACTTTATAATATTTTTATATTTATGAATATTTTCACTGTCTAATAATCAAATGCTATTTTGAGTAAAATTAAATTCTAAAATTCCGTTTATAATTCTATGACGAATTTACGAGAGCTTTATTGTTAATCGAATTTCAAAAAAAAAACGCAAAAATTAACTTCAATTACAAATTCTATTAAAATTCTTGTAAACTCATAAACTTTCCTGAAATTTATAATAATTTGATCTTATATAATTTTATTTTTTTGTAATTTTACTATGTAGATCAAAAATTACATATATTATTCTTAATTTAATAATTTTATTAATTTTAAACATTAATTGTTCTGGCAATTTTCAAAATGAAATTAATTCAAATTTATTTATTTTAATTTTATTATACCTTATATAACTTATTATATTAAAACCATATTAAAAATTCAAAATAACAATTTGTACATACAATTAATTAAATCAAATCTTTTAACAAAAAACCATAAAATAGTAAAATGAAAACCATAGAATATTGCCAAAAATATTGTATGTAAATATACAAATCTGTTATATTTTTTATATGAATTGGTATCTAAAGGATCTTCTCTTCCAATATATCTTCTTAAACCCAATACATAATTATATGAAAAATGTTGCCAATCATATTTTCTAATATCGCTTGGATAAAATTCTTCATCATCTGGTGTCATCGAATCAATAACTTTTTTAATATTGTTATTTGTAAATTTAAATTCAGTTTGCATAAAAAATTTCAATGCTATCATAAATTTTTGCACTTTTCTATAAATTGGCATAAACCTAAAAAAGAAGAAAAAAAATTTTATAATGACATTAAAATTCAAATTATCCTTGAATTTTTTAATCGAATTCATTTCGTCTAAGATTAATTATTTTAATACAATAGCAAGCAATAATATTTGGAACACATACAATTCAAGAATAAGTTAATATCGCCGATAATTTTCACCCGCTAATCAATGGTTCCAAATATAAGAAACCTTTTAATCTTCAGTGAGCTAATTTTACACAAATGCCAAATTTATCCGAGATAAAACAAAATAAGGATAAAAATTGTTTGAGCTTTGATTTAGAACACTTATGGTATTGATTACTGCATCGAAAGAGTACTGTTTAATTAAGTAATTTTTAAAAATAATGTTCCAAAACTTTAGAATTAGTTTTAGAATTAAAAGTAAGCTTTACAAACCTTAATTTCTTTTTGGCCAACGTAAGATATATGTCAATAAATATAGCCGGTATAAAATGAAATAAAATTGAATAGTAAAAGAATAAGAACGGGCAAACAGTATCATTTTCACATTGTTTCCACATTGCACTAGCCGGTGGATTTTTTGTACATTCTCTATTTGTTGCTTCAGCAATTTCTCCTACAAAAATCAAAAAAACAACAATAATTATCATAAAACAAACAATAAAAATCGAATTTTAAAATTACGTACTCCATGTTGTTGGCTTCTCTACACTTGTTCCAACATAATAAACTTCAGGATTTAAAATTTCTTTTATATTATTTTTTATTGATTTTTGATTTAATTCTTTTTGTTTTAAATCGGTATACCACATGGCAGCTAAAGTTGAATTTGTAACATGATCAGCACATACAACATCACCAATTAAATTTCTATCAAATGGCATAACTCTTAATACACCTGTTCCACATGCAACTAAGACACCATTTAAACCATAAATGTTATTACACCAACCAGGTACTGGATCTTCATGTGTTGATATTACAATAGTTGGTCTAATTACAATTGTTGGAAATTTTTTACCATATCGTCTCACTAAGTCTTCTGATAAACATTTTGAAAAAACATAAGTATTTGGCCATGGTTTAATTATAATATCAGTTAATCTTTCGATTTCATCTAATTCAATTTGATTTAATTTTTCAAAAAATGTAATTATTCCTTCAGAATCAACTGGTGGCTCATAAAATTTTTCTTCAATTACTTTACGATTACAATTACTATATCCTGTTGATATATATGCAAAAACTTCTAAATTCTTTATTTTTTCAGAAATCTTTAATAATTCACGAGTTCCACGTAAATTCGTTAAAATCAAATTAACTAATTTTTCATCGAATCGAACATCAGCAGCTGCATGCAAAACTATATTAACATTTTCATAAATATCTTTTAAATCATTATCAGAAATTCCAATATTTTCGAGTTTGATGTCTCCCAAAACAATACGAATACGTTTAAAGAAATTCGGATCGTGGGCTTTCAATTTACAAAAGTGCTACAAAGAAATTGTTTTTAAATATTAAAAATATGAAGTGCAGCTCAAAAATACTTACGGTGCCTGAAAATTCCTCTAGACAACGTTGTTCTGCAGTTTTACCCTTTTTGTCTCGTGCAACCAGAAATATTTCTTTGACATCTGATCTGAAATAATATGTAAGAAAAAATATTTAATGTACAATTTGATTACAATTTCAATAGAATTCAAAATAAAATATTTTCATATACCTTAAGTAAAACTATTTTCAGAAAATTTAAATTCTTTATATTGAATTATATTCATTAAATTGAATAAGATTATTGAATAAGCTTTATATATTACATAGGAATCGCAAAATATTCTCAAAATTTACATAATCGCTCATATTACGGCAATTCATACATTGAAACTCTTGCTTTGCGATATTGAACTAAGTACAATGTTTAAAGAGGTCTCCGCAACAATATTTTTCAATAAATGTGGTCATATGGCATATCACTGGAAAATTAATTTTAAAATAACTTTTGGTTATAACTTAGTATGGTGAATATTACTATTCAATAGCAATTAGCAAACGCAACATTGTCTTGTATTTATAAAAACAAAGCAACGAATTTAAAAATTATAAAGACATCTACCGGAAAAAATGTATATTAACAATTCTCTCACTACTCTTAGTACATGTTGCGCTCCCTCGTGAAGTAAGATGCATTATACACTTAGAGTATTACACACTTAAGAATGTTGAACATACTCTGAAATGGAACGCAACAAACATATCAATATGTTATATATGTACATATTTATATACAAAATGTCAGGAGAATAAAATCAAATATGTGAAAAACTTAAATAAATGAACCGAATTGACTTTTTAATCATATTAATTAGTTACGAGACCATTTGCAAAATTTTGCACCAATTGTTTTTTTATACCCTACACCTTAGAGAAGTCCTCCGTCTGCCGTCCATCCATTCGAAGATTAATTCATCGAATGAGAAGAGCCAATAACACCAAACTTTTAGAATTTGTTTTTATTCCAAAAAAAAACACCGCTGTTGTAAAAAATCTAAATAATTTAAATTATTTAAAAAAAAATTAAACTACCTGCATAAGATTAGACAGACATGTGTCTAATTATAGCTCAGATATATTATGGAAGTTTTTGAATAATCAGTTGAGAGCTGCCATTCAATCATAAAAGCTAATTCTGAATATTTTAAAAATTAATTGAGGTAATTCAATGGAATGTGGAAAATCGTGGCGAATCATAGTTTATAAACGTCTCAAAAATTTTGCTCAGCTATTATATTAGGCTGATTTTATAATCAGACTATCATGGCATAGGGTATAACAATTTTTATATGTTAATTACACAATTCGATTTTTGCTTTGTTAAAACAAAAATTCTTCGTTCTTATAAGTTTGAATAAAATTATTTTGAATAAATTTATTTTTATTTATTTTCCCGTAGCATTATACTTAAAAAAATATTAATGTAAATTTGAACCTATAGTAATATGAAGGTTTGTTTTCATACGCATACAAGTCTAATTATTAATAACACAAAGTCGCATTTGGAGTTTAATATATTGTATTAATTTTATTTTTAGCTTAAAGTATATTCCATATCTTCCATAACCTAACCTATCTTAAACTCAGCTTGTTGTTTATTTAAATTTCTAATTAATTATGTATTTATGAATAAATAAGTAAAATTATTGAAATACATTGTAAATTATGGAATTTCTAAATCATGCTGCCGCAATATAAAATTTAATAATATTTTCAATACTACTTTACTTTTTAAAAATTAGACTTTGATCATTTCGTAAAATACAATAAAAAATTTTACATATATACACATATTTGGCATTATATTTAAATATAGCCTGTACATATAAACAAATTACTACCTGACATTCTTAAAATTTACTATCTGACATTCTGAAAATTAAATTGTGATTTAAATGAATGTTTATCTTGCAAAAACGAAAACATGAAGCAAAAACTGAACAATCTAGAAGATTGCGTAATGGAACTTGGCCTGCACATAAACACGCGGAAAACAAGGACCATCAGAATAAGTACAACAAATCATCAAAAATTTGAAGTAGATGATGAAATACTAGAATACTAGAAGATGTAAATTCCTTGACATACCTGTAGAGCATTATAAGTTCAAAAGGGTCATGCAATGACATTGAGGATAAGCTCAAGATAGCTATGGTGGCATTTCCTAGACTATAGAGGGTCTAGAAGCTCACGCAACATCTGCCGAATATTCTGACCCAACAGAATTAGAAATAGTGACCTATGGGACCCGTACAAGCAGAACCCGATAGAAATAGAAATCAGAAAGAAGAAATATAAATGGATAGGCTACATACTGAGAAGGCTATAGCAGTTCATAGCCAAACAAGCATTGAAATGGAATTCCCAGGGTAGGCGAAGCATCGGTAGGCCTAAGAACACATGGTGTAAAAACTTGGGCGCAAATAAGATCTATCGCCCAAAATAGAAAGAGATGGAGAGGTTTAATCGAAACCCTACTCTCCTCAACAGCAGTTTGAAAAGGATAAAAAAAATACACGTTTTATTCGAACTACTTAAGATTTCCTTAAAAAAACTGTTCATATCGTATAAGAGTTTTCATTTTCTTGTATTTGAGGAAAATGTGAAGGAATTTACTGGAAACTTCATCTAAATAATGTGATATTATATAAATTAGATCTAATTGACTAGTAAGATTAATAAGAATATTTTTCCGGAATGTGTGAAAATATTTCAATTTTTACTAGATACCTACAAAAATACATTAAATTTTTTCCAATATATTTAATTTGAAAATTTTACCTTAATAATTTTTCAACATATAATTGTCCCAAAAATCCTAAGCCACCAGTTAGTAAAACACTTTTTCCTTTAAAATAATCCTTTATTTGTGAATGCTTTACCAAATTTTCATCTTTTTTCATTCCATCGCCCGAAAAATCGTACATATCCATAGTTATATAATTATTTTTATTATTATTGTGAATATTATTATTGTGAATATTATTAAATTAAAAAATTTTCTCTATTAAATTTACAACAAGTTTCCAGTTTTCTATAAAATTTAAAAATTTAGTTATGAACAATAGCGAAAATTGTAATTAACCGAAGAGTAAACTGCACTCGACGAATGAAAATTTAAAACTGATTATTTTTAATATTGTGGTATTAAAAACCAAAAAAAAAACAAAATATAAAAAATTTTGTTTGTATTATTTTTGGATTTTTTTTTTTTTGATTTCTAACATTTTAATTTTAAATAAGTCAAATGTCAATTTTACATTTTAAATTGTTTTTAAATAATTGTTAAATAATAATATGTGGAGTACCTACATACATACATACTCGTATATAAATATACTAATATAACGAGTACAAACTTAGGATATGTTCATGAGGGTCAGGAAACAAAGAATTTTTTATTTTTTTGTATATTATATGAATATTGATTTTAATTCTGTTATGACTTCAAATTTATCATGGAAAAGAAGAATAACGAAATGGTGTAATTTTCTCGTTTAAAACAACATTATATAACGATGGGGAACGAATTAAAATTTTCTTTACATTTATGATAATGGACTGTGTCATTTACTCTCAATAGTGGCGTTGTTGACAGTACTGTCAATACATGACGAATTTTGCATCACTGTTTGATGAAGCTTATTTGCAAAAGGAATGAAACGTATGTCAACCGTATCTATTCTTGAAGAAGTCGTCGAGTAAACACAGCTAAAAATTTCATTTTATTAACAATCCAGCTAAAATAATGTTAATTTATTGCCGAGAAAGAGATATTTTAAATTTTAATTTAAATGAATTTTTAGTTGATCTAAAACACGGAAGCTTTATTTTCAAAGGAGTTTATTACAAGTTAACTCAAAGGATAAGATAGAAAGCAAGTAGTCAGGTTTGAAGCTTTATGAAACAAATTACTCAGAACAAATGCACCGTACAAACATTTATAGAAAACTTCCTGTATTCAATATTTTTGAAATTATCTAACTATGTTAAAAGATATTGTGTTAATATTTCCACAGAAATTATTACAAATACAACATATAAAAGCCGAGGAAAAAATCTTTTGAACAGACATTTAGTTGATTTAATTTTTGAGTATGTCTATTGTTTTCATAATTTATGAATTAACATAAACTTATTTCAGTTTAATTATTACAAACGGAGACTCCAATTTGATATTATTTTATTATAATAACCACTTAATACTTAAAAACTAGTGTCCACAGTTTAAAAACAAATATTAATTGTTGAATAAATTGTTATACGGTATATGTATATGTATAAATAAATTAAAGAATTAGGTAATTATATTTAAACAATTTTTAAAATTTTTTATACAAACATTAACATTGTATTTTAATATTGTGAGTTTCTTTTACTCGTATACGATAACGAATATTCGAAGGGTATTGTAAATTTACTCCTCCTCTAACTCAAAATTACCGCTAGCACCTAAAAGACCTGTGAGATATAAGCATATATTTATTTGTTCTTGTGTATATAACGTCGAATTCTGAATCAATATTCCTATGTCTTCGTTCGTCCGATGTCCTGGTCCTAGTGATAACTGGAAAACGCATAGGCCAATCTGAACTGGGATAGGCCAAATTTTTATAAATTGGTACGAAACTTTTCGAGTAATTTCTATTCAACTTTAAAAATGAAAATATAATGTAGTTACAAGACTTCATAGTTTTATAAAACACAATATTATTAGATTCATTTTATCTGTTATTTAACTTTTGTATAACATTATACTTATTTTTATTCTCGCATACGAACGTATATTCAATTGGTTATATAAATTTGCCTTTTCGTTTGAAATGCTAAGAAATAATGTGTCTGTTGGTCTGACCTCCCATCCGATCAGCTGAACGATCACTCAAAACCCACTTAAGCTATAAGCTCTCTAAACTTGCACAAATGATTTATAATAGTAAATGCGGGAAGTCTATTCAAAATTATTTGGCTATGTTTCATCATACTTCAGAAATTATTGAAGCAAATGGAGAATATTGAAATTTCACCCAAGCAAATATATTATTGGGATTGCTATATGTGATAAAAATCACTGAAATTTCTTGATTCCATGTGCTAGCTACCATACGACTTCAATAGTTGTCCACTCATAGCAAGTTCGTATTGGTATCACAGAGTTGGCATGATCAACTCTATTTTTTCTCGTTTTTTCAAATATGTAGGTATTTCATAAAAATGTTAGAATGGAAATTTTAAAATAAAAGACCTATGTTAATGTTTAATGTATTTTATGTTTCAATTCCTTAGAATATAATTCTGAATAGTAAGTAAAAAACAACAAAGCCCTTTTTTAATAAATGCAAAAAATGTAGAGTAAATGCAATTATAATCAATGAATGTATCAAAAATATACTCTAAATTATTTGTGTATACGCTAATTTTAAATTTTCTATAAGATTATAAGTGTTATATGAAAGTGTAATTTTTATGCAAATTACATAAATAAAAAGCTCAAATTCCTGTACTATTACATTATATTACATTGTTTTAAGCAATTGAAATTAGACTTGCAATTAGAATATTTCAATAAAATTATGTTTAAAATACAATAAAGAATCAAAGAACAAAATTGTAATGAAATTTTCATTCGTAAGAATATATAATTCTATAATATTACAACATATGTCTATAATATTACAAAATTCCGTACAGAGGCAGCTTGGTTTCGATTAATTTTAACTTTTTCGTATGTATTGAAGATATTCGTATGTTTACGAAACAGAGAATTTTAATTAATATATTCTCAGAGCGTAATCGTGTTTTGTTTGAAATATACCAAAAGAATGTAATATATATAAATTTGACATTACGGTCCAAAAACAGATTTTGAACCTGACTGATCAGGTATTTCGGGTTTTAAACGATTAGTGTTTCGTAAATGATAATGTTAGATCAATAAGTAAATAATCAGGAAGTCATAAATGTGAGTGTAACTAGTGAATTGTAAAATTCGGTCAAATTTAACGAGGTAAAATGGGTTCTTGTCTGTATAAGAAAAATCACCAAACCAGATTCAGTTCAAATCAATGACGTTGTGATACCGCAACTATAAACATATATTAAATATAAAATTCTGCGATTTTTGCTGTCCAGGTACGAAAGCATGCCGTCACTTAAAAATGTTGCCCGATATCTTATTAAAAAAATATGTCTGAAAATTATCCAGGACATTTGGAAACTGAATCCTTTCCGCGCAACTTTTCTTAAAATAATATCGTCCGCACATATTGAAAATTTTTGAAAGCTGACTCTCTTTTAAAAAAATTCGACAGTAACAGTTAAGAAAGAGCTATAAATATCCTTTGATAAAATTGTAATATCAACTATCCAGTAGGGTAACTTTTTCAAACAGGACTTCCTTAACATTGGGAAATTATTATTCCAATTTCCATTGCCATAAGGCACGAATGCAACGACCAAGAAGAGCGAACGTCCCTTCTTCTTTATTCGAATCCTTTTAAAATCTACAACCAAAAAATCTAATAATAGAATTACTTTGCGATAAAATGCTCAAATGAATAGCAAAATTTTAATTGGTCTACCATCTCATAATATAAAATCTTTTATTCTAAATAAAGAAGCAACGCATTTTCATTCACCATTTTTTAGTGATTATTTGCTTTTTAATTTATCTTAGACATTTTTCATTTTAGTATCTTACTATGTTTGTGCACGTAAATGTTTATGATGGTCCCTTCCAGACACTGTGTATAAAAATTCTTTTTTTTTCAGTTTTTATTATAGCAACATTTTTCCTTTTATTTCATTTAATTTTAATTTTTGATGCAACCAAAATAGCGTCAAACGTTAACCTTGAACTTGATATAAGATGCGTTAACCTTGAAAATCTTAACAAAATTATATTCATAAGGGTGCATTTTTATTTAAAACTATATGCAAGTTTATAGTTGCGTGTATATAAAACAAAAAATGAATTAGAATAAATTACATTGGGGAAAAAAGAAGCGAAAGAACTGTTGAAAGCGATTACTTTTATTGGTCTTTCTTGCTAGTTAGAATAAAATATTTATAAGACGACTGACATACCAAGCATAATATTGAATTCCAAGTGTATAAGAAGTTTATTTTTTGTATTGGCAACGATAATATGTGCATGTCACACTTAAGTGAAGGCAGACAAACTGTTTTTTTTTAAACGATGTTTGACTGTAATAAAAATTCTTATTCTTTTTAATGTCTTCTAGACTACAATAAAATTTATGTAGATTTTTTGATTATTATTTTTAATATTCTCTCATGACTTTTCAACTTTTTTTTTTTTTCGAAAATGTTCACCATAGCCATTAACATATGTACATATTTCCAAAAACAGTAATAAATTAAATATAATTTTGATGAAGTTTTCATATTATAACCATCATTCAACTTAATTGAATATTTCATAGAAGGTAATTAAATAAAATGCCATAAAGTTATACTCTTATGCAGAGGAAGCTAAACTTAATAAAAACTTGTATGTGTATCATGTGTAGAGGGCATAGGTGACAAAAATTTGTTAAAAAGAAATTCTATTTGCATTATACCGAATCCATCATACCTTAGAAACCTTAGGACCTTAGGAATATGGCAGTTTAATATTAATTAAGTCGAATTCACGAAGAAAGGAAGTTGGCTAGAAAAAAATGTCTGGAAAAGTTTTCCAAATTATTCAACTTTATTACAAGAAATTGAGGTCTGTCAAATATTTCTTACGTCTGGACGAGATAATTTCCTGACGTAGTGTGCAATTATCTCTGGACGAGATAATTCAGCTCGTAGTGCGCAAATTTTGCATCAAATACCATTGAACATAAAGGTGCTGCCGCGCACAAATAAAGCGCTTCTGCCGTATATTATGTAAGAAAATATTGCTGCCGTTCCGCAAATGATAGTACTAATCGAAACAGTAGATAATACATTTGTCGTCAACAGCAGACAGTGTTGTGTTATACGCTACGTGGAAGATTTTCTGCCTAAATAAAAAAAATTTTTGCGAGTGCAGTGAACAGCATTACAATACTATTATTAATTTTCGATGCTATTTTTTTGAAT